TTTATGTTGTGGTTTTGGATGAAGATAAAAATGCTCTCCCACCTTTCCACCCTAAACTTACGTATCAACACACATGCTTCTCAGATCGACACCTTGATCTAAGATTAGAGCAGTCACGTATTGTGGCTGCAGAGTGCGCAATAATGCCGGCGAATAATAACAAGTCTTAATAAATCCAAAAGGAACACAAAGTAAACAGTACAAAATCACATAAACCAAAACAACCGGAACAATGAATAGACGAAACTGTGAGCTTAAATACACGGACAGAGTAATTAACAGAACTGAGAACAGGCGAGGAACTAATAAGTAACTATAGAAACTAACAATGACCAGGAGCACAGGAAAAATCAGAACAGGGAAAACAAAACAAAACATAATAAAACTAAACAGACCTAAATAACCCTAGCAAGAGCAAAGATAGAAATGAAATACACGTTGCTTTTCAGGGTTTTTAGGTAGAACTAACTAGTTTTCAGCTATATTGAATAAAGTAACTCTGCATATAATCTTCACAGTAAAACTAAAGTAATCCTTGTTAAAGTTACAACAGTGAGTGATTTATTTGCATTTTACTGTTTAATTAACATTAAAAACACAGAAGATTCATTAGGCTGCCAGCCCGTTCTCATCCCAACGCGCCTCCTAGTGGTCTAACCCTACCCCAGACCTAAACCTACCCGCGTCATCTAACTGACGCTAGAGGTTGCCATGTGCGTCGGATTTAGACGCATGGTCAAAAGTGTCAGTTTAGATGATGCCTAGGATGAGAATGCGTTGAGGCTGCTGCCATTTTAAGACTTCCGTAACGTGACACAGATCAAAAGTATTTCTCGATTTAGATTATCAGCCCTAACGTCTAAAGCATCTGAGGTAGACTGACCACGAGCTATGAGGTTGTGAAACAAAGGTTTTAACTCCTGTTGAAGCTATAAGTTGTATGAACTCAACCACGTTTAAAGAAAAACATGTTTTATCTGCGATCTTATGGAAAAAAAAACTACACTACCCACAATCCTAAGCGTAGCAGCAACGTCTGCTGATTGGTCCAACTCGCTGTTACCATGGAAACGTTTCTGGCAAACGGCTAGAGCTACCCGCTGTTGTTCTGCATCAAGACGAAGACAGCCATACCCCAGCTTTCACGCTTTCTCACTTGAGAGTTTTCATTTACCCTCTGAACCACATCGTCATATACTTCAGGCAGGTTGCGGTGAGATTTGGTCCAGTGGTATCTAACAGACTCCACCATTGTAAAAAGCTAACCGGAAGAGCCGGATCCCTACTAAAAGACGTACTTTCGGTCTTCAATTTTTTCGTGACATAGTGCTTTGTCTTTCTCTATTTACATTCACTTAAGACATAACTTACTATGTTTGCTAGTATAATCGCAAAGATGGGCATGTTGACCGTTCATATCATTTTTTGTGTGAATTTGTCCGTTCAAGCATAAGAAGACTTGAAAGTTTTCTTTTAAGGTCTGAGACGCTGCTTTCCGCATGCTTGGTCTCTTGATATTGATGGATGGATGTGTGTATGTTGCACCTGTACACTATTTCTGGCCTCCTCTTTTATTTTATTTTATTTTCTGTTATAGTAAGTTATAGTTGTGCTCCTCTGTTTTGTCTGGCTGTTGACGACTGCTTCTGCCCTCTTTCCTTTTCTTTTTTTTAGGGCAAGCAGATGTTCATTTGTTTCTTGGTGATATCACTCTCCTAACATGGAACCATGGAGTGAAACATTAAAACTACTTGCATCACGAACAAATTGAAACATTTTTTTTATGATTTATTTTGACACAAAACACATTATTAACTTCATCATTTTTTTTTTAATATTACAAACCACTTAACTCATCTGGATGCCTCAAAATGCTCCATAAATGTATGTTTATAAATGACAGCAGAATTTTCTTTGGCTGAAGATTTCGAGCGTCTATGGCTGAATTCTGTTGGGATGCTGAGGGCACTGTGACCTCTTTCTATCTGTATTATGACAGTCCCACTGATGCTCCTGTCACACCTATTAGATGACTCATCCTGCTGTCTGATGGTCTGATTGTTTGCATAATACAAATAATGTCCCAATAAGAGTGTGGATTTCTTATTTTGGGCTGAAGAACTGGTTATCTAAGCCATATCTGCCTTGGGTAAATAAGTATGTAAATATATTGTTTATCTGAGCTCAAAAGATAACAGAGAGGGACAGATGCCTCGTTCACCCGCTGCCTACTGCTCAGATTCTCCTTTCAGCAGAATTCAGGGCCAAACTGTAAGCTGGAATATCATAAAACATTGAACATGCTCTCAGAGGATACTCCTACAAGAAAATGTCTGTGGCCACATAACTTAGGGTCATAGGTCTGTGCTACTCAAACGTTGAAGCCCATGGCGTTTTATTTGTGTTTTTTGGCCAGAACTGTTGGTCCCGCACTGCACACGTTTGGAGTTTTGAAACATGATTTGATAATAGCTGCAAGCAGCAGGGGGTAAAGTCTGTTGGTTGCTTACATGAGCCTGACTGTGCCAGTGCCAGCTATGGGAAACACGAGACTTGAGAGAGAGAAAAAAAGACAAATTGTGTGAAAAATTCTTGAGGAGCAGCATTTTGGATCTCAAGAGACTGCAGAGAGATTTTGGCAGGAAAGCAAAGGGTGAGTTGCAGGGATAAGGGTAAATATCATTAATAATTGTGGTCTAGGGGTATAAAGGTAGAAACTAAGTAAACCATATTTTCTCATGTAAAATTAAAGAGGTTTTTTTAAATAATACTGGAAGTAGCCTAAAACCACTTCATCTAATTCATTTTGGAAGTCATTTGTCATTTCACTGTTGAGTCAAAGCCTTTTATTTGTGCTTACTCTTTTGTTTGAATACTTTATGGACAATTTTACACAATAAACTGCAGTGCGAATCATAGCCTACCAGTTATAGTGTGTGTACAACATGTGTTGGGGCTAAACGTAATATGCCTCGTTCACATCAAGAACGATAACAATCGTCCACACCAACAGATGACAACGTTTGGTTTATTAAGCATATGCTGCAGTTATGTCATCTGCACATTAAATGCTCGATTCTGATTGTTTGTTAATGTTTTTATCGTTCATCAGCTGAAAAAATCATATTGAATGTGATTCCAATGATACTGTTTTTATGTGTCGTTATTCTTGTGCTGTGGACTTCGCTATTTGCATATAATCCAAAAGATTGTTAAATCTTCATAGTTTTTACGTTTGCTATCGTTTTGTGACGTATATCCAAGTGAAACGGTTTCTCTAGTAAAAAAAAAAAAACATTTAGGACGGGACTTGATTTTGTCCGTGGGGAATTGATTGTTTAGTTGTGGTTTGCTATTGGTCGAACTCATGTGAGTGACAGGTTGCCCCTCCCTCTCG